ATATATTTATAATTATTTGTAAAATAAAGTATATTAATGGTCGTTAAATTATATTAGAATAATATTCCCAGCTATTAAAACTTTATAAGTTATAAAATGATTTTCAAATTTATCAAACTCTTGTAAAATAATAGGTGTATGTTATAAAATATGGATATATTTCATAAAACTAAGTATTATTTATAATAATTTGATAAATTTAATGATTATTATATAATAATTTGATATAAATAAATGATCATTTGTAAATATTTAAAAAGTTTAATAATTTTTTTAAAAATTTTAAAATTTCATCGATAAAAAAATATTTTAACATGATTTAAAGATCATTTAAATATTTTATGTTTGTTTTTAGGATAAAGTACATAAATGTCCCTTCACTATATGATATTGCTTTATTAAGTTGTCTGGCTATAGAGAATTGTTTTGTTGATTCCATTGACTATTTAAACTTACAAAAGGTCACATGACTATTCATAATGTTCCAAACTCGTTATTTCTTGTTAAAAATTTAAGGACAATGTGAATTGTATGTTAACATGCTGACTGAGATATGATAAAATTTGATCTCATAATCTTAAACGACTATCATATCTCAGTTAGTATGTTAATGTCCAACTCAAATGATTGTTAACTTTTAACGGAAAATGACAAGTTTAGAGCATAATGAATAATCGAGTGATCATTTGGTAACTTTTAATAGTCGAGAGATTCAATAGTAACTCTATGTAATTAAGAGTTTATTTTGTAATTTTTAATAGTCAAGAGACTTAATAAAGTAGTATCATATAGTCAAGGGACTATTTGTATATTTTACCCTTATTTTTAATAAAAGAAAGTGTGGTCCCACTAGAGATGATGTGCTTCGGCACCTGTGGTGGACATTCTAAGAAAAATGAATTTTTTTATATTTTAATTTTAAAGATAATTTATTAGACCAAATTAGGTGGGCTTTGACCCTAATAATTTGGAATATTTGCATTGAACTCTTCATTTTTTGAAAACTGTAAAGTGGCCTCCAAAATTTTAATAAATTATAATGTAGTCCCACAACTTTGGAAAATTTTGTTAGAGCCCTAATATTTTTGAAAAATCTCATCAAAACCTTCAAAATTTAAAAAAAAAATTAAGTAGACCCCCAACTATTTTGTAAAATCCATCCATATCCAAAAATGTGCTAATAAATTTGATATTATAATAATCGTATTATAAAAAGTAATCTTACATTCCATAAATCATATATCCTCTATAAATTTTTAAAATGTTGTATTTCAATTTTAGGAAAATAATTATAGGATAAAATGGAATCAATTTCATCACTTCTTAGACAAAGTGAATATTTGCAAATCTACCTTTTTCTGAAAGGAAAAAAAAAAAGAGGAGAATACAAGCATGCTATGCCATCTTTTAAAAGCTAAGTTATTACTTCTCTCTCTCTCTCTCTCTCTCTCTATATATATATATATATATATATATATATATATATATAAACCTAATTTGAATAAATTTTGATATTAATAATTTTGTTTTTTTACTCATAGTTTTTCCTTTAAGATTTTCTACATACAATGTTCTTATTTTATTATATATATTATATTGTGTGTAATTTGGATTGTCACTGTCTCTGTATAGTATAACAAAGTGCAAATCGAAAACTCAGAGTTCTTATAAACACCGCTGGCCACCGGGACCGATGGGTTGTACACCAACCTCCTCAGATCACACTCCATTTCCTTGCGTCTTCGTCGAGCTCGTAGATCTGCTGGCTCAACCCTTGCTCGTAGAACAATCTCTTGATTGCATGTCACATGCAACACGAGCTTTGAGAGAGATGGGTCGTGACGGATCTAGAAATATTTTTGAGAGTGGGCACGCTACATTAATAACACAAAATTTTCGTACGGAATAGACACAATCAATAAATTAAATAACATTGAATAAAATTCAGATTTCAAGATCAACGTGTAACCATGAAAATTACGTAAGGGAAAGAAAAAGAGGAAAAGGAAATGAAAAAAGTGACGATTCCATTGTGATATTTGGATTAATCGATGCCACGGCACCATTGATTTGATAGTATTTTCAAATTTATGTGGCTTTTTTTCATAGAATCTTGCAAAACCCTAAAATTAGTGTAACCATAAAATTAAATTTAAATAATTTAATTCATTTATTTTAGTGGTCAACTGTCCAATGCCCTTTCTCTAGTGAAAAAAAAATCAAATATGTAATTAATTCAAATTGAATTAGATTATTTAAAATTAATTTTATGGTTATACTAATTTCGTCTTATTAGTTTAAAGTTTTATAATTTTTAAATGATTAAATTATAGTTTTATCTTTTTAGGATTATTATTAATTTTTTTATTATAAGGTAGTATATGTTAAAAAAATTGACAACAAATGTAGATATCATGTAAACATAATTACTCAAAATCGAGACCTATTAAGGTCGTTCAATAAATTCTTATCTAAATATGATATTAAACAATAATTTTAAAATAACATTATTTTAAAATAAACAATAATAAAATAATAATGATTTATTATTATCAAACCTTTTACGCCGGAACAAATAAACAATTTACGTCGGCAATAGTAATGAGACATAAGTTTCAACTCAAAATTCCCACCAATGATTTATACATATAGGCATGCATGGCTTATCACTAATCTAATATTTATTTATATTTAGGGTAAATTGTAACCAATATGATTGAACTTTAGATGGTTTATCGTTTATACCATTGAACTTTTAGCTGCTCCAATTATAGCATCAAATTTTAGTTTTTGTTTTAATTATTCACTGGGTCGTTAAATTCTAACGACGTGATAACGTGATGGGTCTGTCTGTCAATGTGATGACATTGATAGAACAATGTCATTTTGGCATGACTATTGATGTCTAAAATAACGTCGTTTTATGTATTGAACTTTAGAGGTGTATCGATGTTATCACTAAACCTTTAAAAGGTTCAGTGTTAGGCACTAAACTTTTTTTTACCGTCGTTGGTTGTCAAATAATGCCCATTACCAGTCATATTTCGTAGTGAGATCAGTATCAAAATGTTTACATTTCACTTCTCTTTCTTCTCATATGATTAGTTTTCCACGAAACCACTCAAAATTAGCAAAATCTATTTAAAGGCTTCACGTGCTAATACGCTGATCTCCTCTGATGGTCGTCCAAATGAGTATAATTTTAAGGTGTGTTGTTCGTCTTCTTGAAATAATGATTCTTACTATTGGAATTTTTTGACGAAACACCACAAACCCCTTAAATCTAAGAAATCCCTCAACCCCTAAAAATGTTGATTTTTTATTATTTAATTTCATCGAATTTGAGCGAATTTCATGAAAAAACAATCTTAGAAATAAAAAGAGAAGTAAAATGTGAACGTTTTTGTACTAATCTTATCGTGAAAGATGACAAGTGATGAGCAGTGATTAGTTGTCGGTGGCGGCTGGAAAAGTGCAGTGCCAAAAAGTAAATTGTTTAAAAGTTTAGTGGCAAAATCAATATACCCCTAAAGTTTAGTACCTAAAATAATATTATCATTTTATTCATCAATAATAGCCCCAAAACAATGTCGTTTTGTCCATGTCATTACATCATTTGGATTTTAACAACCTAATCGCATAATTGAAGTCAGAACCAAAATTTAGTGTTATAATTGGATCAACTAAATGCCCAATGATTTAAATGATACATTATCTAAAGTCAATGATATATGATATAGTTTAACCTTATATTTATATGTATCAATCAGTATATACAAGGACAAACACATGATTTTATATTATAAATATAAAATTTTAAAAACTTATACTAAAAATTTAGGAAATATAACATTAAATTATTAATAAAAATATAAAAAATCTAAATTATATAATAATTTAAAATTTTTAAATATATAACTACTCCCAATACCTCTCGGTCCATCCTTTTGTATGTGTACATAAATGACCCTAAAAAATGGCTCTTGGCATTGCCATTGACCCTAAAAAAACCAGAAATATTATTTTCATAATAAATATCTGTAATACTTTTTTTTTCATCTCTCTTTCACATAGCTTTATGTTTTGTTTTTAAATGGGAATATATACCATTTCCTTTGATTATAACAAACAACAAAGGAAAGGTCCCAATTGGATAAATCCTCTATTGCTTTCTCCAGCATAGCAAGATGCCCTTCACGATAACTATTCCCAAATCATTCATACATTATTACATCACCACACAAAAATCTATCCACCATCCAATAGTGATCTTCAAATACTCATATCTAATGCAACTTCGTAGCATAACAAGTAATGTAAATTTGAAGTCACGCTTGATAGATTTTTAAAATGGTTGATGGGAATAAATGGATTAAGATTTAAGACGGATAATGGCGGTTCATTCCTTTTAGTTTCGACGGAGAGTCGGAGAGTTGAAGTTGATTGGAAATCAATCGTTGGTCGGTATTTAAGTGACCTAACTCCATGAAGAGGTAGAGCAGAGAAAAGTTATGGTGAGATGGTTTCATCACGTTGATCATGCGCAAGAAATTTTATAAAAGTCTTCAGTGCGTGTAGATGTAAGGTCGCTGTAAGGTCATAATAACTGTCTGTAACCCTAAAACAGTAAACCCTAAACATTAAACCTTCCCCAGTAAACATGATTTCGTCCCTGTACGTGAAGTCACCTAAACTAGTTCATGCAAACCTTATCCGGTTATGCCCCAAATTAAAAGGAATGATGATGTCCTACCCGTACAAAGGACATATCACTTTTAATTTCCGTATGCAATGAAAAGAGAGAGAGATTCGAGATCATGCAATTTCGTTTTCTATTGGAATGGTGCTATGCCCTTTGATCGTTTTCATGCATGATCTAAGAGAGAAAAACAGTGGAATTCGAAACCGACCCTAATATCTAATCGAACATTCTTTCACTTTCAACCACTCAACCAAACGCCACATTTTCCCCTATATAAATCATTCCCAGTTGGCACCACCACCACCAACAAGAACAAAGTCCATCACTTAAAACCCTATCTTCTTTTTCGTTTCGGTGCGTTGTTGTTCGATATCGTAATCGATGGAGAAGGTGATGAAGTTGGCATCGGAGAGGCCGGTGGTGATCTTCAGCAAGAGTTCGTGTTGCATGTGTCATACGATCAAGACCCTTTTCTACGAATTTGGAGCCAGCCCCGCTGTCTACGAGCTCGACGAGATGCCTAGAGGACGTGAGCTTGAACAAGGTCTTCTGAGACTCGGTTGCAGCCCTTCGGTCCCGGCCGTGTTTATCGGTGGAGATCTCGTCGGCGGAGCCAACGAGGTCATGAGCCTTCATCTTAACCGATCCTTGGTCCCGATGCTCAGACGAGTCGGAGCCCTTTGGGTTTAATCCGAGAAAACCTTACTAACTTGCTTGTCGAGGCAGTAATAAAGTATGTGATGAGATATAATATGGTCACATTAGGGTTTAAGCTCTAATTAACTGTAGAATGTATGGAAAGACCGTTGTTTATACGGCCTTTACCGATGAACGGGATGCTTTTTTGGTAATAAAATTTTCGAGTAACGTTAATATTTCTCTATGTTTCATATACGTTCGAATAATTATAGATAAGATTAAATCATTACAAATATAATCATATTAGAAGTTTTAAAAATATGTAATAATAGTAAAAGAAAGCTCACACTTGATATAGTTACAAATATTTAAATTTTATGAATGCAACTATGCAAGTCTTTATTTTATTCAAGAAAATATATTCTACTCGTATATAGATACGTACTTCGGTACTTGACATATAATAAGACATCAATACGTGTACTTCCGTATCCCAACGTATTACTTCCCATATATACGATGCTATGCATGACAAATAATGGAATATGATACGATGTTATGATTTTTTCTAATAATTTAGGGTGATTATAAGATAGTATCTGTTTATAATAGTTTTTAGTCATCCATCTTTAGCTCAGGGTGGGTGTATACCCTGAAATTCAAATTTTCTTCGGTTAATTAGTCATTTCATCGGTTTTGTCCATCTCAAAATCTTATTTGTACTCATTTCATACGAAAATTTGTTCAGTCTAAAAATATTTTTTAGATATGTTATTACCTGCATATACACAACTGTTTGAATTCATAATCTCTAAAAGGACTAATATACTTTTTAACCACTACGAATACTTGATAGATTCGATAAGATGCTGTGGTTGTGGAAGAGATTGTGAAAAATGCTTTGGGACATAAAGTATTCTTGGAGAACCTTTTATAGAGGTTTGTGACTTGGAAGCCAAGAATCATGTGCCAGTTGGGGTTCTTTTATGGGATAATGAGTACACTGCAAGTTTAGCAAAGACGTGGGTATGGGTTTATTTTGGCCCATTAGGCATTCGGGTTTTTTATTTAACTCATTAGGGCACCCGAGTTATTATTTTGGGATTTACTATATTTTCTACGGTATTCATGAAATTTATCACATCGATGTGAAGTGTTTTAATAAAAAAAAATTATTCAAAGTCGTCACTTCAAGGTGACGAGTTCTAATAAAATTTAATTTTTTATTAAAATTTATCACATCGAGGTAAAAAGATTGAATTAAGAAATATTTTTACTAGAACTCGTCATCTCAATGTAATGAGTTCCATGCACTATAAAAAATATCGTAGATCCCAAAATAAAAGTGTATGTGTCCTATTATGCAAAAAAAAAAAAATCGGGCTGCCCTATTGGGCCAAAAAGACCTGTGGGTAAGGATATGAGGTGCAGCCTGTAGAAATTTAGGCCTTGGGCCTACGGATGTGATTTTTGGGCTTGGGGAATTTGGTTTGGGCCTACTGGCCTAACTCGGACGGAATTCGGTGTTAACGGTGGAAACATTTTACTTGTGTCGAATTTCAATGCGATGATGTGATCATGTTTGGTGAACGTTTGGTTCATGTAATCTAAGATTACAAGGCGTAATTTTAAATTTTAGTATAAGATTACAGTGTTTGATCTATATACGTTATAAGTAGGTTGTAATATAAGATTTTGTACAAGACATAATATAATGTGTAATCTCATAACATCTTATTTCATCCATTACCTAAGATTACGAGTGTATTCTTAAACTTTTCGTTCAATTTACCCTTTGTTTTTATTATTTTAAATAATTTTTTATTGAGAATTTATTTTCTCCCATAGAATTTTATAAGTTTAAGTTCGCCGTATTGAAATTTTATAAGTTCATGTTCGCCCCCTAGCATAAGTTCATGTTCGCCCCCTAGCATAAAATTATGCGTCCTTATATATATGAAAATACCTTAAATACTTGAAGAATGAATGCTTATGACAATCAATTAAGATTGTTCTTTAATTAACTCTATGTTTTAAATATGAAAGTGATAAAAGATGGAGGAGTGAACTATGAATTAAACCTTTAGTTTTTGTTCCATATAAATCCCACGTACAAACAATAGAAAGTGTTTTGGTGCACCCGTGTTTTCTGACAAAAGGAAAATTGTCACCTTAAGTCCCCCAGCTTTGACCATTATAATAAAAATTCCTTTTTAGCTTTGTTTTAGTCTCAAATTTTAATCCATTACGCCCAATCTTAGCCCACTAAATTTAATTAAGCCCACTAAATTTTAGTCTCAAATTTTGAGTGATTACAATTTTTTTTATCTAAGTTAATTTAATAGGCATTATCTTGCATTTCTTAAAATATATTAAAATTTTTAATTATAGAATTTATCTTTTTTAAGGAATGGATTTTAAAAACCAATTTCATTTGTCAAAATTTTAAAAGTTCTTACTTGAGTGTTTTTATATATATATATATATGATCATCGTACATAATGTAAAACTCTTTTAGTTTTACAAATGTTTAGGACCATTGAGTGAGTGAAAACAGATGATTGAGATTAAAAGTAGAAAATGTGAAGATATTTACTAGGAAAAAACAACGAGTCAATATTAACCATTTATTTTCACTCATTCAACGATCCTAAAGTTGTGTAAAACTAAAGAATTTTACATTGTGTAAGTAGATCATAACCCATATATATGACTCGTTCATATTGTGTAAAACTTATTAGTTATACATCTTTTTAATATTGTTAGATAATAGAAAATGTACTTTTTAAGATCAAATCGGATTAAATTGATGTCATTGGTACTTTTTATTCTTTTTATACTTTTTATTATTATTTTGAATGATTATAAGATAATATTTATTTGAAAGATTTTTAATTGTTTAGAAATGAACACTCAAAAACCTATGCAGACGACATGCTCGAACTCATGATGACCTCTAAAAATAACAACCATTCATTTAACAATTGAGGTCGTTTGATTCGTACTATTTTTTTATAACTTGCAAATAAAAGAACTAAAATTCACTTATTAAAAATCAAACTAATATTAAAATATAATATATATATATATATATATATATATATTTCTTTATCACTTGTCTATATTGTTTAATAAAGTTTTAAAAATAATTTTAACATTAAATATTTTTTACATGCATATTTTTTTGAACTCTCAGAGTGGTTTTGGTAGTTTTTTTTATTATTATTAATAATTAGAGTTCAAACAATGTAATCTATATAATATATAAAATTTTAAAATCTTAAGTCCTACGGAAGACATTTCATAATTCGGAGGTCTCCTACGGAAGCTGCTCTCAACCTGACGTTAAGGGCAGCTACTATCCTACCTCCCCCTTACCCCATTACATATGGGAATAAGGGTCAACTAACTAATAAATATCAAAATTTGAGAATCTCAAATGACCTTATTTATTGTTAATTGATTTGTAAGTACAATTGTTAAACCTACATATAACCATCCCATCATCACCTAAGCTAGAGAGCATGGAAAATTGCTTGGTTCATTTAGGCACTAAAATAATCCAAAGCAATATGATTTTGCAATAGTGGAAGGTCACAAGTGTTTATGTGTAGACTGCTTGACTAGCCAAAAGGATACCTAAAAGTATTAAATATATTTCTCACCAATAACACCTTAAAATTTGATTTGAATGTTTTCTTGAATTTAGGTGAATATAAAATAATATATTTTTTGTAAAATAATATAAATTATTAAATAAAAAATATATTTACTTTAGAATAATAAAAATATATTAAACATACCATATCAGGTATATCATTCAATATTTATTGTATTATTTATTATTTAGTAAGTAATTATATTCATATAATATTTTTCAAACAAATTACTGTATTTGTATAATATATTTTTAATGTACTGAAAATGATAATATATTTTATAAAAATGGTTTTCTTATACTTTGAGGTCAAAATCCAAAAAGTTCCAAGGAAGAAACTTTCATCTTTTCCCCTAAATTCCGGATTGCCTTTAACACTTGGAAAATAAAGGGTTTTTCTTTTGGGAAATGTGCATTATTCTCAATTTGACCCCTAATAAATCCCAAGTGGCCAACCCCATCCTCAAATTATAAATATATTTTTAAAAAACTTATATCCTGACATAAAATTATGTGTTTGTCCATGTTTGATGATATTCAAATTCAAAAACTGAATTAAAAGAAACTATCGAATTCGATAGTTTAATGTTGTTGTGTTTTAAAAAAATATTTATTTGCAAGTGGTATGTTTTTTGAGAGGCTTAATTCTTTGGTCCAACCATAAAGATACTTCACTAAATGATCACTTAATTGAAGTGTTTCTCGATGGACTTAATTGCAAAAACCCAAAAATAAAATACTAAAAAAACTAATAATTTAAAATGGAGAGAAACTTCATATTTTATGCTTTTGTATTTTGGCCTACATGTGATCAAATATTATGATCCCATGTTCTAAATGGGGCATTGATCTACTAAATATAATAATAAAATGAAAACAAATCCCACATTTTTATGTTTCTTTCAAATTCTTAGTGGAAGAGTCAAGGGTCATAGATCTTAATTCCATTAATATATTTTATTAAAAATATTTGTGAATTAAAAATTAAAAGCTTAATTTTATTGAAGACAATTATTTAATATATTATTTATCCAAAAAATTATTTAATATATTAGTAGTGATTTTTTCTTTCATAACGCGTTTTAATTCTTTTTAATTATTGACAATATAAATATACTCTGCAGATATAATTATCCAAACTCAAAATTTTAAAGGAAAACAACATTTCTTTTAACCATTGAAGTCGCTCAATAAATTCTCTATTAATTAATATTTAAATAAATAAATTATGTCTGCCCTCAATAATATAATTCATTCCGAATTTGACCTCAATAATTTTCACATCCAAAATATAGATATACTCTGTTTTGACTTAAAATTTTAACAAAACTCCTAAAAGTATTATATAAAAAATGTATTATTATTATTAATTTAGTAAATTTATCAAAATGGGATGGGATATAATTTACCTAAATTGACCCTACAAATTTTGACATAAATTACTATCACACGTCTTAAAATCTGAATTTAAAAAGTATATGATTTTATTAAATAAATTAAATCAAATCAAAATCTAGTAGTTTTTAACTTTTTATTTCTCTTGCCTTATAATATTATAAATCTATCAAATTGATTAGGGGT